GCACAGGCGGCATTAAGAGGGCTTGGTTGGGCTGACACTCTGCGCGCTATACAATGAGTTCAGCAAACGTGTCCTGCGTGTCCACTGGTAAGCCAGCCGGTGTTCTGCAACCCAAACCAAACTAACGGCCTTCGAGTCAACTCTGGCTCATCGCGACCCTCTAAGGCAGGGTAGAACTGTCCCTCGTGGGTTTCCGACAGGAACAGGATGGTGCGTTCAAACTGCTTGTGGTAAGCAGCCCAACGTGTAACCCACCATTAGGAGACACAAAATGCCACTTCAACGCACTCCCAGTTCCAGCCTTCCCGTCCTGACAACAGGGCTAGAGAATAAGGGCTGTTGATCCCAGGTGGACCCACTTACCAGCATCCCTCCAGCAAACAGGGAGAACTTGGTGGAATTTGAGTGAAGACAGATCTGGTGCTCGCCAGGGGTGTGGGAGGTGAACGTGAACCTGCCCTCTGAGCCATACTGCCGGGCCAGGATGACCTGGAAGGAGGGGTGGGGTGTTACGGTAGGGATGAGGCTGGAACCCACTCAAGGCTCCAAGTGCCATAAAAGTGGGCAAGAAGAGTCTTCAGCACCTCAACACACTAAAAGCCCCAAGTGGCTCTGCAGTAGCTGCCAGATGCTTGTCTGAGAACTTCGGGGCTGGGTGGAGGTGCTGGTATCACGTTAGTGGGTTTGGGCATCTTGTTATCAGTATCTCAGTCCCTTCTTTTGGTAGGCGAGTGTGCTTTGTTGTAATAAAAGGTAACAAACAGCACAAGGGTTTGGGTGTTTTTGTTTTAATAACCTTATGTGCCAAAATTTTTCAAGTTGTTCATTCTGGCTCCATCAAATCCCAAGGTCTGGCCATCGTCGTTGTCAAGCTGGCCAAAAACCTGTCGGTTTCCATCACTGCAGTTCCTGGACCCGTCACACCCACAAACGTAAGCGTGTGTACACTTCTCGGAGCAGGAAAAAGGGACAAGAAGGGCAACGGACTTGCCCAGTGTGGCCTGGAGCGAAACCCAACACCTTCCCACAACTGGGACTGGTTTCCTCCCGTTTTGGGAAGTGCGGAAACTAGGTGGGGAAGGAGCGAGCGGCGCCAGTTTGGCCCGGCCCTGCATGCGGAGTCAGGGGCCGGCTCACCTTGTCCTCTGGGTCCTTGACTTCCACGAACATGCCCAGCCCGGGGGTGGCCGGCTGGTATTCCTCCCGCTGCTTGTCGTACAGCTGCGTCCGGTAGTTTCCTGGAGGGAAGCGGGGCGAACCCGGTGAGAGGAGCGCGAGCCGGCCGTGGGCTCGCGACCGCCAGGAAACTGCCAGCGGGCTCCTCCCAGCTCTCAAGACGGACTCTCCCAGGCCCCCCGCGCCAGGATCCCGATCTTCTGCCAAACTCCCTCCTTCCCGGCGCCCCCGCACCTATCACCATGGTCTCGTCCGGAATTTCCTCAATAAAGCACTTCTTCTCAGTCTCCCCGATGTGGAAGTAGAGCGCGCTGCTGCGGGCCGCCAGACACAGCAGCAGCAGGAGGGCCCGCACTAGCTGGCGCGGCCCGGCTCCAGGCCCGGGCCCCACGACCCGCGCGCCCTGCTCCGCAGCCATCTTGCCCCACCTGCCCGAGCAGCCGCAGTCGGCCGCGCCACGTAGCCCTGCGCCGTCGCGGGGCCTGCTGGGGCCGCGAGTTCGGCCTGGAAAACTACAGGTCCCAAGATGCCCCGCGGCCTCGGCGCGGCAGTCCCTGATTGGAGAGCGGTTTCCGGGTCTTCTCTGAGCTGGGACGCCCGAGGTGCACAATTCTTCCGGCTGCTCTTCCACGTGGCCGGGTGACTGGTGGTGGGATCATCGTCTTAACCCAGATGGTGAAACTAAGGCAATTTATTTGGGGTTTCGAAGGGAATTTTGAGCAGGAGTTGAACCTGAAATCTGTAACTACCACTTCTCTGTTCAAAAAATGGACTTTGGCTGGCGCTCAAGTGGGAAGAGAATGCTTTGAAAACGATGATGGCCGCATATGTGCGAAGGTGCTTGACACTGGAATGTGTGGATTGTGATGAGAGATGTAAGAGCCCCCAGTAAAAGTAGTTTTTTTCATGCTCAGCCCCACCAGGGCTTCAGCAATTTCTCGTTGTTACATTACCCTTGATCATGCCCTACCAGGCCTCCCACTCCCTCCTCACCACCGATTTGGATCACTTGTTGTTCCCTTGTCCCTGAGTTTGTTAACACCACCACCCTCCCTCTCCCATGTCCCCCCGGAACTGTCGGTCCCGTTGTTTCCTCCTCCAGATTGTTCATCCAGCCTATCTTATTTAGACAGACCTGCGGAGATAATAACATGCACAAAAACAAGACAGAGCAAAACCAATCAAC